TATATATATATATAAATTCAACTTCATATGTATATAGTACTGTGCTTTTTGGTAAAAAGAAGTTCGGATGAACCTTCCGTGCCTGGCTGCTAAGTGCTAGCCAAAGCGAATACGAATGCGAAAGGCCAAAATGAGGATAGTAAAAAAGACGAAAAAGAGTAGTGTGTGAAGGAGAATGGCTTTGCCATTAGTATTGAAGCTGCCGAATTCGACGTGACGCTGACTCCCCGGCAGCTGAAATATGAGTCCAGGCGAAAGAAGTACGAATAGAAGGTAACCAATAATAATTGGTGCCCAATCTAACATTTTTTTCTGAGTTGCAGGGAAATATGTATTGAAGATTGCACAGTAGTATTTTTTTTCAATTCAACATTTGTGGCCAGAATTTATTATGGTCTTGAAAATTGATTCCATGCTTGTTCCTCAAGAGAAGTAGCTAGAAACATGCTAAAGCCTTATGATGGAGGGCAAAGCATCTTCTTTTGTATAACCATACAGGGGCGGATTTTTAGGATTTCGGGATGATGGGTGCATTATTATGAAAAGGTGAATTTAATCGGTTTGACATTTAGGTTCTTATTATTGAAAGCAGTTAAAATTTTAAGTTATAGTTCCAAAATTGAAATGCTTGATTAATTAAAACACCAAAAGTGCTATCAATAACCACTCAGAGAGATATTACCAAATTTTAGAAAGAAAAAACCTTGCTGAGAGGTGCACCCAATTATGGTCGCATTATATGATACTTCGAGTGTGGGTTCACGCATTTATATTTAACAAAAAATTAAAAAATATAACACTACTATATATGATTTCGGGAGGAAACATGTGTTCACATGAGCCTGATGACCCCCTCCTGCATACGCCTCTGGATGCATAAGAAGTCACTAATTCAGTAACTTTGACTTAAATCTCGAACTCAGTAACTCAAATAATCAATGAATTCAGTAATATCTCAAACCTATAAAATTCAAATCATGAATCTAACCTATTTAGATTATATATGGCAGTAGGGGTGTTCACGGGTTGGTTTGGATCGGTTATTGGTTAAAACAAAAACCAAACCAACTTAATCTGTTTTTAAATTATCAAAACCAAACCAAACAAAATATAATATACATTTATCGGTTTGGTGGTTATCGGTTTCGGTTTGGTTTGGTTCGGTTATTCGGTTATTAACCATACACAAAAATAAAAGAAACAATTCATTCAAAATGTGAAAAAAGTGACAACAATCCATTCAAAATGAAAAATAGTTAGAATGACTTAAATTACTGAACTTTCGATCACTAAATTTACTATCAATAAAGCTTTAAAATTCACTATATTAGTCTAGAAGGAAGAGACAATAACATTTTCAGTCCCACAAAGAATTGTCATAGACACTCATATACATGAAATCAATAAGATAAATGTTTCATCTTGGACATTTTTGTTTTCAATAAGTAAATTATAAAGAAACTTTAATGAAAATATGTATAAGATCTTTACATTGTTTATAAAAAC